AGGGGGGGGGGGATAGCAAAGGTCAAAAAGCAACCGGTAACCAGCACAGGGGGGTTATCGAATCAGATGCGTGCAGCTGGTTCTGGTGGCGCCTCCCGGCGCCGGAGGCGCCCATTCATCGAGGGAGGCGACTGGCGGCGGGGCCGAAAACCAACGGCATGCAGCAGATGTCGTACCCCCCCTCCCTTTCCCAATCCCCCCTTTACGTCCGACCCGGTGCCATCTCTTCCTCTGGGGGAACCGAAAGGTGCCGACACCGCTACTCCGCGGACCTCTCCCCGGGTGCGTTTCGACCAGAATTTCGAGGCGAAGCCAGCGGTGGCGACGACGGCCTCCCAGGAGGGTGAAAAAAGGGAAAACGGGCGAAGGGTAGTGGTATGGGTACCTTTGATCCTCCCCCTCCCCCCTCCCCCCTCCCTCCTCCTTCCTTTTTCGCCACTGCGGGGACGCTCGGCGGCCGCCGCTCGCCTGGCCTGCGCGCGCAGGCGGGCCCTCGGCCCGTGAATGGCGCGCACGCCCACCGGAGCTCTGGCGGAGCGAGGAGGGGAGACCGCGGGGAGGGCGAGGGGTGGCAACTCGCGCACCCAGGACCCGGGCATCCCCCCGCAGGTCAAAAGATCGCGACGGGAAGTCCGTCGCCGTCTGCAGCCTCCGGGGGGCCCTGCCGGGTCCCCAGGACCATCACAACGACTCAGGTGATCGGCCTGTTTTCCACCACCACCACCACCACTATAAGTTGGAGGGAGGAAGGAGGTGGAGGACGAGGAGGAGGAGGAGGAGGAGGCGGAGGAGGAGGAGGACGAAAAGGAGGAGGACGAAAAGGAGGAGGAGGAGGAGGAGAAGGAGGAGGAGGAAGAGGCCCCCTCCCCCTCCAACTCATGGTGGTGGTGTTGGAAATCAAGCCCATTATCAGGGGGGGGAAATTATTCATTCCTCGTTCCCCTGGGGGGTGGTCACGGTACCCGCGGGCCCACGATGCAGAAAAGAGAAAAAGCATCGGATCTCCGGGCGCCCTGTGTGGTGGACTCCCCGTCCCCCCCCGTGGCTGCTGCTCGAGCCGCTCTGGCGGGGGGGGGAGGAGGGCGAAGAGGAGGAGTGGCATCGTGGCATCAGGAATGTGAGCGATGGGTGGATAATTAGGCCGGCGGATGGACGAATAGGGCAAGAACTTGATACTTGACGAACGAGAAGCACGGGCTGGGAACTAATCTCGAGGCAGGCGAAAAGGGGGGTTGCGAATCAGCTGCATGCAGGTGCCCTGTATCGAAGATGGACTCCTGCGGGGCCGAGACCAGCTGGAGGCAGCAGCAGTCGAAAGCTCTCCTCTCCCCCCGGCTCCCCCCACCGTGTCGCCCGCCTCGGAGACTGGAGGTGCCCAGGTGCCGCAGGGATCCGCCCACCAGCGCGCAAGAGTCTTGCCCAAAGGACTGCAGTGAGAAACCCAGCAACCAGACAGGGCCGACCGCCCGCGGCATCCCCAAACCTCCGCACCTGGCTAGGGCTGGCCCCGCCCGCCGCGAGCGCTCGCACACGCCAGGCTGCGCTGCTCTAGCCCCTACGGAAAACTCTCAGAATCTTGCTGACAGGCCTACATGGGTTCTGGGGCGCTCGTCCACGTTTGAGACGAGGTGTCTAGTGGCAAGCTGCACCGCAGCACACGAGGTGCTCGGTCGCGGGCGCAAGCGGAAGTGCCCGGCGATGAAGGACATGCGAAACGATCTGAGCTTGCCATGGCTCGGACGCCCAGTCCCCGCGCATTCTTCGATGTCGTGCGTATAGTTGTTTATTCGCAAGGGTGCTCGAAGATGCTCCTCGATGGTCCTCGCCGAGGAGAGATGCACACGCCCAACCTATGCCAAGTAAAGGCAGCAAGCAGGCCTCATCTGGCATTGCCTTGCGGCCTCGCAACGGCAACGCCGGCCGTGGGCTTTGCGTTCGCGCGGCTCCAACCTACGACGAACGCGAGTGCAGGTGGGGGGAGACTGATATTACAGCGCATGACAAGATCAACAAAATCGTTTCGTCCACATACTACTGCTGTTACTTCTACGGCTCCCCTTGCGTGGACACTCCGGAGCGGAAGATCGCGCCGTAGCGCGTCGTTGGCATGCACCTGGCCACTTCGCTCACTGCTCATACTCTCACACACACACACACGTCACGCCTGCCTCTCACACTGTCACGACAACCCTGCGGTGTTGGCAAACTATGTAAGTGGGGAGCCAAACTTCCGCGGACACCAATGGGCGCCCAGGTCACCGAATCCGATTTGGCGGCACTCTGGAGGTATCGGGGCATCCAACAGTGGCGCCACGAAACCTGTAACAGCGCACTGGCCGTGCGCCGCCGTCAATCAGCGGCGCACCGCGAGTTCCTGGGACAATTCGGGGACCGGCTCGCTAGCGACTGCCCTTCTTGAGGGGAAGCGGCGCATGAGCCGGCGTTTAAGTGAATGGATCGATGGAAGCATGCATGCGTAATCAGAAAGTCGGGGGGAGGCATGGTTTCAGCACACAGGAGGGAAATCGGGATGATGATGATGATGATGATGATGATGATGATGAGGAGGAGGAGGAGGAGGAGGAGGAGGAGGAGGATGAGGATGAGGATGAGGATGATGATAATAAGGAGGCGGAGGAGGAGGAGAAAGAGGCGGAGGATGCAGAGGAGGAGAAAGAGGCGGAGGATGCAGAGGATGCAGAGGATGCAGACGACAACGACGACGAAGACGAGGAAGATGAGGACGGGGGAAAAGACCAGGAAGACGAGGCAAATAATGAGAAGAACGCGGAGAGATGGAGAAGGAAGAGGAAGAAGGGGAGGCTGGGTACACCAAAAGGAAGGTCCTTTCCCTCCTCACATGTGGCCTCCTCAGCCTGCTGCTGTTCCTCCTCCTTACCGTCCTCCTCATCCTCCCTCACTGTTGTTGTGGTATGCCGCCTGGATGCTCACAGCGGGCCGCAAAATATGTCGGCCCCTTGCAGCTGGTATGGAACAATCCGGGGGCACAACGTACTTTTCTCTTCACATCCCCCACACCCACCCGCACGCGAGGAGTCCCCTGAGAAGTGATCCTGCCAACGGTCCAACCACGAGCGCTGCTCGCTTCACTGTCTTTAACAATTGCAGCGTAATTGTCGTAAACATGATCCTCCGCCCCACGCCCCCAATGCTAATGACATCGCCCCCCTTCCCGCTGGATGGGTACGCCTGTGAGCCTCGCGAAGGCCTCGCGAATATGATCGCCCGCCCCCCCACCCCACCCCCTGCGGTCGTGGCCCCGTGGGCGTGGCGCGGTGGTGGGTGCCGTTGCCCCCCACCACCCCCTGTTGGGTGTGGGGTGGTTCGTCGTCGTTGTCGGCGGCGGCGGCGGTGTCGGCGTCATCGTCGTCGGCGTCGGCGTCGTCGTCGTCGGCGTCGGCGTCGTCGTCATCGTCATCGTCATCGTTGTCATCTTCCGTCGGCGTCGGCATCGTCGTCATCGTCACCGTCATCGTTGTCGTCTTCCGTCGGAGTCAGAGTCGGCGTCGGCGGCGGCGGCGTCGGCGTCGGCGTCGGCGTCGGCATCGGCGTCAGCGTCAGCGTCGTCGTCGGCGGCATCGTCACGTCGTCGTCGTCGTCGGCGTCATCGCTGTCATCATCCGTCGGCGTCGGCGTCGTCGTCATCGTCATTGTCAACGTCATCGTCGTCGTCCGTCGGCGTCAGCGTGGGCATCGGCGGCGGTGGCGTTGGCGTCGGCGTCAGCGTCGGCATCGACGTCAGCGTCAGCGTCAGCGTCAGCGTCGTCGTCGTCGTCGTCGCCGTCGTTGTCGTCGTCGTCGTCGTCGTCGTCGTCGTCGTCGTCCCCCCCCCATCCCATCAGGGCGGGATGGTGGGGCCTGAACCCTGGGACCGGGGGGGGGCCTGTGAACCCTCGACCATGTATCGTATATCACACTTCGCTCCTCATAGTTTGCCTAAGCGTCCGCCCTCATGTCCGTATCTGCCAGCAGCGATAGCGGAGGTGCGACAAGCGAGATGACATGCCAGAGCGCGAGAGCTAAGAGATAGGCGAGGCTACTCACTACTCGTTCGGACTGCCAACATTATGCCGATAAACACCTGGCGATGGCCCCACCCACCTCCTGCGAGGCCATTTGCAGATCAAAACGACTGGAACAGAAATATAGCAACAGACATACGCACACACAAAAGCACGCACGCACGCACGCAGGCACGCGCACGCACACACGCACACACACACACACACACACACACACACACACACACACACACACACGCACGCACGCACGCACGCACGCATGCACGCACGCACTCACGCCGACCTTCCGCCGACCTTCCGCCGCCTTCCGCCGCGGAAGAGATGACAACTACTTCGACCCTCCAAGATAAGCCCTTTTTGGGGGAGGCGCGCAAACATGGATCGCGGGAGGTGCCCTCCCCAAAATGCGGCCAGTGCCGCCTCGTTCGGCGGCGGAAATCCGCGATTCCCCGCGGAAACGGGACCCGTCGCTAATCCACGCCTCCTTGATCCAGCTGGGGTCGGAGGATCTCGCCGCATCCCCGATACATCGGCGATGCATCGCCGATGCATCGGCGATGCATCGGCCATGCACTGGCGACGTCGGCGATACATCCGCGACTTCGGCGTGGAGCAAATTCGGCCACACACCGAGCCGCATCGCCGATGCGTCGCCGATGCATCGGCGATGCGGCGCGATCCTCCGAGCCCATCCACTCCGACCCCATCTGGGAGGCCCAGGCCTCATGTCTTGCGCATTTCCTGGGCGCTCGGGTGAGAAACATGCCCCGACGCGCCGAGAACTGGGCAGCCTCCTCCCCGCCAGGGCGGACCGGAGCCCCCTCCTCCCCCCAGGCCCCCACGCACAGCACTCCCGCCCCCCACAGCACCCGAGCCCCCCCGCGCAAGGGAGGGGGGGGGATTCAAAACCATCCTCCCCCTCCCCTCCCCCTCCCAGCACCGGCAAGCGACGAGCGACGACGACAGCGACGGCGGCGGCAAACGAAGACGACGACAGCAGCAGGCGGGCGGGCAGAGCACGCCGTCGTTTTGAGAGTCGGTCGGGCGGGAGGGCGAATTGCACAAGTCGTCGTCGTCGTCGTTGTCGTCGTCGTCGTCCTCGTTGCTCGCCGGCGCAAGGGGGAGAGACCCCCCACTGTTGGGGAGGGGGACCCCACGGTCTCTTCACGTGGAGGATGCTTTTTGGGGAGCGCCCCAGGTCTTTAAAGCCTCCCCCCTCAAGCGACCAAAGAACGTGGTCTCCCACCCAATGCTCTGTTCGAAAGACAAATAGATTCCACAACCCTCCCCCTAAGGTTATCGGGCCTCCCTGGGGTACTGTTCTTCCATTTCTTTGAACACGATCGTCCATCCATAACTTGAAAGTCATATCCTTCAAGCCAACTGGTTATTGACACACCTTACCTCGTCCCTGCCAAAGAGTACCATGCGTGCGCAGTCGTCCATCTCAAAAGATCAGTTTGCAACAGCCCTCTGCGACCAGATCCCAGTAAGTCCACACGTACTCGCACATGTCGAAAGCATGCCAACCACATTACGGCTGCAAGATTTGCAACACTATGGCACCAAAGGACATTGGGTTGTTCATCAGAAATCTGGCAGAGTTTCTGTCCGCCCGCACTTGCTGAAATCATTATGCGCAACCCCGTCCCAAGTCCGCATTATCATTTCACTACGCGGTACGTCGGCGTAGATCTTGCATACGCCCAGTGCACGAAACCATATCAAATCATACTATGCATGCCGCGCAAGCGCCGCCACGCGAGCGTCGAAGTCCTTCCAAAACCAATGGTTTCCGAAGCGTTTCAAGATTGAGCTTTTCAAACATATGAGAAACCAATCGGATTTCAACAAAGCCGCCGCCGTCGTCATCGTCCGTCGCCGCCAGTGCCGCCATCATCGGCACAATCACCCTCATCGACGACGCACGGATATCATCATTGTCGTCGTCACCAGCATCGGCGCCGTTATTGCTCTTGCCGTCGTCGCCGTCATCGCGGCCAACACCATCGCTATTATTATCATCGTTGCGGCCGTCGTCGACGTCATCATGATACCACCCCCGCACGAATCATCAGCCCGCAATGCAGTGCCCGCGCGCCAGCGCGGCCTTCAAAACGCCGTAGAAAAGTCCCATTGGCAAGCGCCCTCGCGGCCGCATCAGTTGTTCCAAATCAGCTGGTCGTTTTGCGCGCGAGCGTCCGCTCGCTAACGCGGCCGCAGAGACCCGCTAGCAAGTGCCAATCGGCAGCTGCAATCGTGGCCGATTTGGTTTTGCCAAACAAGTTGCGGGTGGGAGGGTGGGATGTTTGCGCGAGCAGTGGAATTGACAACGCATCAATTGATCAAACTACTTACACACCACTGGTTGCAACACGTAGACTGCGACACTTTCGATTGTCTGCGTCTAAATGGTACCGAACTCTATATCCATGCCGAGTCTGGACGTACCTGCCCATCCGCGCAGTTGACGTATTCCTTCGACACGGTCGTACATTTCCAGATCGAACAGTGCACTCCCGGTCGCTCCTGCTATTCAACCCCCCCTCATCCCTGGAAAATGATACGCTGCGGGGCGCCAGCTCTGATCGAACACGCGCACTGTCACTGAATCGGTAGCAGTTTCTCTAGCCCAACGGCCTAGAGGCGTGCTAAAATCTCTGGTGAAACTTCGATGGAATTTCTAGTTCGCGCGCGTGGCGGCCCTATAGAAGAAGAAAAATCGCTATAAACATAAACTTTTGGCGCTCCACGCGGATTTCTTGGATCTGCGCTGGACGCCCTCCCTGGCGCGCGGAGCGCGCCAGGGACGGCGCCGGAGGCGCCTCTGGGGGGGCCCAGCGCGGATCCAAGAAATCCGCGCGGAGCGCAAAAAACATGTGTTTATGTCGTTTCTCTTCTTCGACCACAGGGGTCCCCACGCGAGAAATACCTAGTGAGAGGTCCAAGCAAAAGGTCCAGGCCACAAGTGCCGGAACTCCTGGGCGCGGGCCTGGGGGCCACCAGTGATCGCCCCCATGAAGCGCTGAATAGAATCTTGGGATGCGAGGATCGATCCCCCCCTCTATGCGTAGCCCCCCAAAGAATTAGTGATGATGAACCAAAAAAGAACCCATAATCCTTTGGGAGGCGACCTAAGTTAGGAGGGCCAAGAACATTAGGGAGAGGGTTTTTTTCTGCAGATGCATCAGACCAAACCGCCCAGATCTATAATCCCTAATGCGAGGACGGGGACCTCAGCGAGACCGCGTCTTCGCAGCGGGACCGCAGTGATTCGAGCACAAAAGAAACCCTAACCCTACAATGTAGGGTTAGGGGTTCTTCTGTGCTCGATGAAGAGATGCTCGGGGCATGCGGGGTCAAGGCGTGCGCATGTCGAAAACGTGCAACAACAATTGCCCGCTTGCCAAGTCTGTCAAACAATGCCATGCAAGCCACCTGCGCGCCTCCGCGCGCACGTCGGAATCCTGTCAAAACCACCGGCTTCCTAGGCGCTTAACCGCAGCAGTGTTTCACCGCATACCAAAACCAAATGGTATCTCAAAACAACTCGTATGAACCTCAGAATTCCAGCGGGTGTGCACTTCCCCATCACCATCGTAATTATCACCATCGGCCTCTCGTGGTTTTCGGTTGCGGAGTCATACTCATTACAATCTTCGCCGGCATCATCACCGCCACCGTCATCATCGTCATCGTTGATGTCGTCGCCCTGGTCGTGTTTCTGCGCGCGGGCACCTCCTCAAAATCGCCAGCACCATCGCAATCATCATCGCCAGCGTCGTCGTTGCCACCGCCAATATCATCACCATCCGCTACATCCCCTTCACCATGGTCGACGTCGACATCGCACCCTTCCCATCACCGCTGTCATCACTATCAGCATCAGCGTCATTACCACTGTCATCGGCATCTTCGTTAGCTCCGCAGTCGTCACCATCGCCACAACCATAATGTGACCTGCTGGGCGAAATTGTCTGCGCGGCTGAGTTCCACGCGCCCGCGCGCTCCTTGATACCATGGTCAAGTTAGAGGACTCTGCAAATCAGTCGCGGGCGGGCGGCAAGAATTCTGCACCAGCATGGAAGATGGTCGCGCGCGCATGTTGTGCGGGTAAGTGACAAAATGTATAGGCTCGGGGATCTACTGGCCGGGGTCAATCCAAACCCGGGTCAGTCAGACCTTGCAAGATCCTGCGGGATCCTGCAGGATCCTGCACCCGAGCCCAGGTCTGTGCACCCCTGGCGCTGCAGGATCCTGCAAGATCCGGCGCTCTGACCGAGCCCCGTGTGCACTGACCCCCAGCTCTTGAGCCCCAATAGAAGCTCTACCCGCCCTTTCCCCAGCTCCCCCGTTCACCCCCCCCGCCGATCCCTTCCCCCTTCCACCCCCTCTTTGCGCCGATCCCCCTCCCTCGACTCCACCATCGCCCTCGGCGGCGGAAGGTCGGCGGGAGCAGAGCAGAGGTGAGACGTCAGCGGCTTTATTGGGGACAAGGACGTCCTCCTCCTCCTCCTCCTCCTCCTCCTCCTCCTCCGCCTGCGCCTGCCCCGACTCCTCCTCCTCCTCCTCCTCCTCCTCCTGCTCCTCCTCCTCCTCCTCCTCCTCCTCGTTCCTCCTCGTTCCTCCTTCTGCTCCTCCTCCTCCTCCTCCTCCTCTCCTCCTCCTCCTCTCCCCCCCGCCTCCTCCTCCTCCTTCCTCATCCTCCTCCCTCCCCTCCCTCCTCCCTCCTCCTCCTCTCCTCCTCTCCTCTTCTTCGTCTTCCTCCTATCATTATATTAACTGGTATAATTACTAGTGTCGTTAGTATTATTGATAGTACTACTAGCTGTAGCAGTAGTAGTAGTAGTAGTAGTAGTAGTAGTAGTAGTAGTAGTAGTACTAGTACTAGTATAGTAGTACTAGTACTAGTACTAGTACTAGTACTAGTACTAGTACTAGTACTAGTACTAGTACTAGTAGTAGTAGTAAGTAGTAGTAGTAGCAGTAGTAGTAGTAGTCGTAGTAGTAGTAGTAGTAGTAGTCGTAGTAGTAGTAGTAGCAGTAGTAGTAGTAGTAGTAGTAGTAGTAGTAGTAGTAGTAGTAGTAGTAGTAGTAGTAGTAGTAGTAGTAGTAGTAGTAGTAGTAGTAGTAGTAGTGGTAGTAGTAGTAGTAGTAGTAGTAGGAGTAGTAGTAGTAGTAGTAGTAGTTGTAGTTGTAGTTGTAGTGGTAGTAGTAGTAGTAGTAGTAGTAGTAGTAGTAGTAGTAGTAGTAGTAGTAGTAGTAGTGGCAGTGGTAATAATAGTAGTAGTGGTAGTGGTAGTAGTCGTCGTAGTAGTAGTAGCAGTACTAGTAGTAGTCGTAGTAGTAGTAGTAGTAGTAGTAGTAGTAGTATGCTCAGGCTGCTGTGTTTAATACTAGTGTTATTATGATTGGTATTAACAATATTATTTGTGATCGTATTATTAGCAGTCGTGTTATCAGTATGTGTCTTGTTAGTATGATTATGCTTCGAATTATTAATCATATCATTATTACTAGTCGGAGTGCGATTCGAGCTCACCTTCTTGGTATGAGTATTCTTATTGTGCGCAAGATGATGTTTCTAAGTGTCAATGTTCTTACTAGATTTGTAACTATTACTCTTCTTCTTATGACTAGTATTATTAGTAGTATTATGATTCCTCGTCCTCTTATTATTCCTCCACCTCCTCTTCTTCCTCTTTCTCCTTCTCCTTTTCCTCCTTCTCCTCCTCCTCCTCCTCATCATCATCATCATCATCATCATCATCATCGTCCTCCTCCTCCTCTTCCTCCTCTTCCTCCTCCTTAACCTCCTCCTCCTCCCCCTCGACTCCTTTGTGCGTCGATCCCCCTCCATCGGCTCCCCCTCCCCCCAATCCCACCCTCCGCCCGGCCACCGCCAGGGCCAGCGCCAGGAAGGCCCCCGACCAGTCCGCGTCCGCCGCTGCGCGCGCCTCCCCGAGGGGCCATGTGCACGAGGAGGTGCGGCAGGAGGAGGAGGAGGAGGAGAAAGAACGAGGATGGTGCTGGTGGGGGTTGGGGGGAGACGAGGAAGATTGCATCAGACACGGCAGCCACGGTAGGATGTCGAGGAGATGGAGGAGATGGAGGAGATGTCGAGGAGATGAAGGAGATGGAGATGCAGGAGGCAGCCACGGGAAGAAAAGGATCACGCAAACGCAATGTGCATCATGGATGCTGCAGCACGCCCCCCATCTCATGTCCTCCTCCTCCTCCTCCTCCGTCCTCTCCTCCTCCCTCCTCCTCCTCCTCCCTCCTCCCTCCCTGCTCCTCCAACCTCCTCCCTCCTCCCTCCTCTCTCTCCTCCTCCCTCCTCCTCACTCCTCCTCCTCCCTCCTCCCTCCCCCCCCCCTCCCTCCTCCCTCCTCCCTCCTCCCTCCTCCGCCCCTCATCCCTCCCTCCTCCTCCTCCCCCTCCCTCTCCTCATCCTCATCCTCCATTCCTTTTCCTTATGAATAACGTCTCCCTGTCGCACCCCGAGGCCAGTTTGTAGGGCGGGCTGGGCGTTTCGCCTGAGACTTCCTCACCATGTATGATTCTGAAGCTTAACAAAGTGGTAACAGCTTCACAGATGGAGGGCGGGTGGTTTTCAAAATGTGGCTCTCGCATAAGAACCGCGCACATTCGTTCTTAACGTGTTCAAGAGCCACGGGTTGAGGGCGGTGGTTTTCAAACTGTGGCTCTCGCCTTAGCGCCGCGCACATTCGTTTTAAACATTTGCCACAAGTTTACGGATTGATGGCGGGTGGCTTTCAAAATGTGGCTCTCGCCGTACCGCCGTGCGCATTCCTTCTACAATTGCCCAAATTTCACGGATTGAGGGCGGTCCCGTTTTCAAGATGTGGCTCTCGCCTACGCGCCGCACACATTCTTCCTGAACATTTGCAAGAGTTTCACGAAATCCCATGATCAACATGGTGTGATGGAAGGATTGAGGAGCATGCGGGTGCAACAGTCAAGTTGATTAGCGGTGTTGAAATCCAAGAAACGGCGTTCTGGCACGATTCCAGATCGTCAAGACGCAGCAGTCAGGTTGATCCGTGGCGTTGAAATCCCGAGAACAATGCTTTGGCATGCTTCAGGGTCTTCTAGGGTGTCTTCCAACGAGGCCGTTCCCTCAATGGCAATGAACCGTTGTAGGGGCTTATGAAGAGGTAGCTTTGAGGGATGGTTAACTCCAATATCGTGAATGCTGCACCATAGGCGACGGCGCTATGGCGCACAGGCCTACTCCCCGCTGCTGCGCACGGTGCTTCAGTATCAGGTGTGTCCGAGCTCGAGCTCGCTAAGATGCGCCGCACTGCTGGTGTGATCTGTGGCAGGTCTGCTTCTTCGACGTCGCTTACGTTAGTGCTAGCCACACAGAAAGACGATATGTACGACCCTGTGTTCCATGCCACGCTGGAGCCTGTGAAGTCTTATGCCAGCTTTGTTTGGGATCAAAGGTTATCCTTGGGCAGATTGCAAAGGGCTTGGGCTTCGGTGAATGAGCAGATGAAGAAAGCTACCTGGACTCAAGCACGAGGGCCCATATCTACGTTGTGGCTGACACTAACTAGTATAGGTTGGAGCATGGAATCTAGTACGGTAATAGTTGACAACAGCAACAACAACAACAACAACAACAACTGCAGCATAGACATGCTGAGTATACCACCCAGATCGATAGCAGATTTGGTTAAAGAGGTATACATAGGTGGCAGTCGAGAAATATACTCGGTCGCTATCAGGACGCTTGTTTTGGCAGGGAGGCTATTTGGATGCGAGTTATTCGGCGAGGCCTTGGCGGAGCTAAGGCAGCTAGCTGATCGAGCTCCTAGGTATGCAGGAGCGCTGCGTACTCTATGGTCTGGAGGACTCTGGACACGTAGCAGGATGCAGAAGGCAGGCTACCAGATTTCCCTGGCACGCCGCTGGTGCCCACAAGGACCTCCGGATACTCTTGGTCACCAGATCTATGGTTGCCCCAGGCTCTACGAGGACACGTTAGACGAGGACCTCCACTGGGACCCCAAGCTGGACCCTGTGTATTGGTATCTGCGGGAGAAAGGGATCACTGGGCTTGGGCCAAATGACTGGGACAAATTTAAGACGTATATCGGCATGCCGTTGGCTCCCCCAGCGCTCCAAAAGGTGCCCAACAAGATTTCTGTGGTGTTCTGGGGAGACTGGGAATCTAGACGGGATTCATGGTCGACGGTTGTGTTCTCTGATGGTTCTGGAATGGCCCCCAGCTGGCCAGAGCTTCGTCGATGTGGATGGGGGTTCTGCCAGTTAGGAGACAACGGTATGCCTGTTCGAAGAGCCTGGGGAGCGCTGCCAGGTCCGATCCAAACAGTGGGCGGTGCGGAACGCATGGCACTGCTGCAGGCGCTCAGGCTGCTCCCCAAGGTTTCGCTTGTGTGACTGATTTACTTTCGATGGTGGATGAAGGTGTTGCCTAGCACAAAGACCAGGAAGACGGACAAGCCACCTATGCTGATGTATGGCGTATATTCTCTGAAGTTGGAGATCGACCACCGCCAGAATTTCGTTGGATTCCAGCGCACACGTCACTGGAAAAGGCTCTCGATTCCAGGCACCCCTTCGAGTTCTATCTCGGCAACGGATGGGCTGACTGGTTCGCGAAATTGGGGGCTCTCGAGCATGCGCTACCAGAATGACTGGTCCTGAATCATGAGGCGCTGCTCTCGCACGCCAAGCTCCAGGCCAGGTTCGTCGGGTGGGTGGCGGCGAAGATTGCGTATCGAGATGGTGAAAGTGAGAGGTCCGCCCGTTCGTACAGACCCTCCACTCAGGGACCCCCTAAGTTGAGCCTCACGGCCCATGACATGGCCAGTCGAGTTTAAAATGAATGCCGTGTACAGCAATGCAAACGATGCCTAAGTGTAGCTGGGACTCCTGCTAGGTTGGGCAAACTGCTAAGCTCCCCATGTGCCCCAACCCCTCAGCAGTGTTTGATGGGGTCCAGGGGCACAGTTTTGATGCAGGCACCTAGTGTTCGTTCCCAGGCTCTCGTTGCGGACCTACAGTGGGCTGACGAAGTAGATGGATTAGGCCTGGAGAATGGGGGTTCCGCTCAGGGCGAATCGTCGGTGCCGCCGCCTGATGCCATCGTCGAGCTGCGAGGGCACCAGGTGTTGGTGTCCCACGGTGCCATGGTGTGCACTTTGTGTGGCTCCTATCAGACGTCTTTTCAGGCGGCCAACTGTAACCTGGACGAGGACTGCAAAGGGCCCTCCCAGGAACTCCAGGCCAGATATAGGCAGCGATATAATTTGAAAGCCAGAAAGCCTGGCAAGCACCCCAAGAACGGGAAGCCACTTGGCTAAGTATATAAGCTATGGCCCATGCTCCAGTCGTCCTCTGCTGCACGACAGGTCATCGGCGTTGTCCTCCTCCTCCTCCTCCTCCTCCTCCTCCTCCTCCTCCTCCTCCTCCCCCTCCCCCTCCTCCCCCTCCTCCTCCTCCTCCTCCTCCTCCGTTCGCCCCCTCCACCAGAAGTGCTCACCAAGAATGCTGCTCCGCCGTCTCCCCGGGCACTGTGCGGGCGGGGCGCCGTGCCGTGTCTCCCGCGTGCTGCTTCCTGACACGTCGGCTCTCGAAACGTCGTGCTCGCGTGCTCGTTCGACTGGAGCGCTTTTGAAGGGGCCCAGGGACACACAGCTAAATAGACAAAGATCCCCGGAGTCCCTATAGTGCTCCATAGTTTCGGGGGCTTCGTCTTCCCCCCCCCACACTTCCCCTATTTTCCCAATACTTCCAAGGGAGTGACGATGAAATGTGTCAATTGTGTCTGTGATGTTTCCCCTCCTGAGTTTTGTCTCTTCGGAACGGTGCTTGTGCTGCAGCGTTGGCCTCATTCTCATGAACGTCGCTTTGCCACTTTCGTTCTGAGTGGCGCTGCGCAGGCCGCAATCCTGGATTCGAATCGTTCCTCGTCGCCGTCGCCCCCTGCCTCCCCTCATCAGCCTTCCCCTGGTCCTCCTGCTCCCGTCGCTCCTGCTGCTCCTTCTCCTGCTGCTGCTGCTCATCCTTCCTCCTCCTCCCCCTCCACCAACTCCCTCCTCCTCCTCCTCCTCCTCTCCTCCTCCTCCTCCTCCTCCTCCTCCTCCTCCTCCTCCTCCTCCTCCTCCTCCTCCTCCTCCTCCTCCTCCTCCTCCCCCTCCTCTTCCTGCTCCCCTTCATGCTGCTCATCCTCCTGCTCATCCGCCACCACCTCCTCATCCTCATCCTCTGCTGTACACAGGTTCCCTTTCTGATCATACATTCCACGATGGGGTCACTTTGCCGAGCGAAACGAAAATGGCACAATGGAAAAGAATGGGCGGGAGAGGCAGGATGTCAGACATCGCGGGCGCGCGCGCACCTAGCTTATCCTCTCCCACCTCCTCTCCCTCCATCCTCCTCATCCTCCTCATCCTCCCCCTCCTCCCCACGTCCTCCCTCCTGCCCCCTCCCCTCTCCCCCCCCGTCCATGCCGCATGCCCCTTGGCTCCTCCTCCCCGGCAGGGGGGGGGAATCTTGCCCGTGGTCTAGGCCCTAGGCCCCCGCCACTTGTGGCGCCCGCGTTCGCAGCGAAGCTCGTTCTCAGCGGCGCTCACGTTCGCCGGTGGCGGGTAGGCCAGCCGTTTGCACTCATGAGGTCCCCGACCGCCAGGAGGTCACAGGTAGCGGAACAGCCTGTGGAGCCTGGTGGGCGTGAACCCCTGCAGTTCGCCAGGGGCCACGTCGGCGATCACGCGCGCGGAGACCAGCTCGTCCAGGAGCTCCGGGAGCCCAGGGAGGGTGGCGTCGTCGAAGAGGAGCAGCCGAGGGCCCGCGGCGAACCGCCTGGCATTGAGGACGTCCTCGCGCGCGACCCTCGGAGTGTGGCAGCCATCTATGTGCACGAGGTCGAAGCCACCATTCGCTGGAGAGTCGCACGCCTCGT